CACACACACACACACGTAATCAAACAGGTACTTTTGAAAAACCAGAAATGCAATATTCAAAAGAAAAGTCTCCTAAAATTATAGAAACACTTAAAAGCACAAAAATTTACATTTTTATGACTTTTTGGAATTTTTACTTACCATAATAAGCACATAATTAAATACAATTATAAAGATGGTTACCAAAAAAGTTCAGTGTTCCACAAACTATTATCAATGTTACCAATTTTCTGGAATGTTTATCTAGATGTAAATATTATATAGACAAATCATTCAGATGGCTGATTTCTTTTCATCTGGATATTTTGGTCTCATGAATTTCACGTTTTAGTGATGACAATATTAAAAAGAATGTATCAGAAGCCCATATTCCTATTCTATATTAATTATTTCAAATACCTAAGACAACTAAATGAATGTTTACTTTTCAAAAGGACATATAGTTACAATAGTCAAAATAAGTACATTTTCCTTTTTTCAACATGGAGTGGGCTTCAGAAACTCTTAAAGATTAAAAAAAAATGTAGAATTTTAGAATTTGGGGCTAAATAATTGTTCTTAAAATTCAAACTGAATTTCCCATTCAGTTGCTATCTATCCTGCCAACATGTCCAGAACACTAGCTATCAGCTTACTAATGTCTTGTAAATGTGGCTCACATTAAGATCTGCTTCTCTTACACCTTCTCCATGATTTCTAGTGTGAGCTAGGTCAACTTATATGTCTCCTAAGGCCTGGTCCCAGATCTTTTGTTCTTTTCTCAATCACTCCATCAGACTAAGAATCAATTTGGGGGCTAGAGTTACTGTCTTGCATCTGATGATTCTTTAGGTATGTCTCAGGCAGACAAAATTCTAGTTCTATGTATCTTTGTCTTCAGTTTCAAACCAGTTCTGTCTTCCACGGTCTCTGACAATAAATAGTGCTAATGCTTTTATCAGTCGCTTGTGCTTGGAAGCCTGCGGTATGCTTTGGATCACCTTCCCTTCAGTCTATGGGATTTACTCGATTTTCTAAGTCCTCTTGATTTTTGCTTTGTGACATCTCATATACTTGTCCATTCTGCTCCATTCCCATCACTACTCGGTCCAGATCCTCTTCAGTCATACTCTGCTTTCTACAGTAGACCTGCAGCTTGATTTTCCTTCTTTCAGCTTTCTCTGACACTCAGTATCTCTCTAGCACCTACATCAAAACATTTACTCACTTATGTTGTCTGTTGCATTAAGTCTGTATCTTTTTATAGCGTTAATATTGAGGACTTTGCTTACTTAATATCTGCCTCACTGGTATACACAGAAGGACTGATTTAAGTGGAGCAGAAAACGAGTCCGTACCCAGAAGTGAGCTACCTGGGCACAATCCCATTTGGGAAGTGGTCAGAGGAACGGAGGATGTTGAACCTGGACGGGAAAGGAAGAAGCAGAGGCAAGAGGAACAATGAGATGGACACTAATTGTTGTCTAATAGCTGAAGGACTGTCAGGACAGAATTAATAAGAACTCATGGAATTTACATAGATAGACTTCAATTCAACATAATGAAATGTTTAAAAATGTCTAGAGATCTCCAACGTGGTGAAGCAATAAACTCCCCCAAACAAGAAATGTAGAAACAAAGGTCAGACGTTGAAGGGAAAAAGTTTCTGCCTTGATGCTAGACCGCATTGTTTTCTAACACTTACTTTCTGTAATTTTAGCTATCTAAATATTCAACATCATTACTATGTATATTAATGAAATGAAATTTTAAAAATCAGAATTTTAAACTGAGGTGTTCCAAATTCACTCTTACACTTAGTTAGCTTACTTTGTATAAACTGGACTGAAACCCTGAACAATTATTTAAACATTGTAACAAATACTTGGAGCTATACTGAAATTAATTCAACCTTTTTATGGTCTCTTTTTATACAAATAAAGAAGATGAAATGAAGTGATCTGTGAAAATACCAGCAATGCTTTGCCTGCTACCGTGTTATTTACAGACTTCTCAAAAAAATTTTTTTAAATAGACCTATCGCCACCTGAAAGAGAGGCCTTCAATGTGCTGTCATAAAGAATTATATGGAAGACAGGAGAAGGCTGAAGGAAAAAATGATATTCTAGCATCAGATGACAGTTAGGATAGGAGAAAATACTACCCAATGACAATTAGGGATGAAATAAAAGTTGAAATAATAAAAGCCCCCCAAATGAAAGAAATATACCATATAAAATTTTCTCAATAAAAAAATTAAATCTGACCTGGCTCTTCAGATTTTGCCTAAAGGCCAACACACTGAGTGCTTACTCTGTGGCAGGAACACTGTAAATTCTTTATCAGCTTCCTATGAGGTATTTACCACTATGTTTCCCATTTTACAAATGAGGACACTGAAGCACAAGACATAACTTGCTTAAAATCACACAGTAGGCAGGTTCTAAAACTAAAATTTGACCAATCTGATCAAGGCAGTCTGGGTCCAGTGGCCACACTCTGTACCACCATGCTATGCTGTTAAAGCAGTGATTATTCCATTCAATTAAATTATTTAAAAATTAACTCCAAGTAGCTATAGAAAATATTTTAAAATTATTTATATATGCTTTTATATAAAATTTTCCACTTAAACATTATATGTAATATAATTATGTAATCCACTAAGATCCAAAGTTTACTTGGTTGAAATAACTTCAGATATGTTTTCAGATTTTTTTAACTTCTTTGGCAAGTTACCATAAATTGAAAGGGAACAAAGATGTTTACTTTGCAGGTAAAATTATATCAGATATGTACAATACTTTTATCATGGCAATAGTTTTTATTTTACAAGAAATAACATGTTTTGAAAATACCAAGTAGCAAGGTGAAACTCACTAGGCAATTTTTGCTGTATTGTTTGTCAAAATGATTAAGTTAAAAAAATTGATCATAATTGAAAAATACTTCTATATAAAGAAACAAACTAGGGCTACTCTGTCTCAGGTGAGGGAATTAGGTCCTAATTAAACCCATAGTGAATTTAAGACCCAATATTTTAGTTTCAGTATCTAAGTGAGTATATATGCAGAAGTTGTTACTAACTTAAAGCTTAAAATGATCTGTTTCCTTAGACTGATCTTCAAATTGATCCCACTTTAATGTGTTGAACATGTTCTGAATCTATCCCAGATACACAAGATCAGGGACTTAAATGAGGGTCAGGGAACAATCATGGAGCATTAATGAAAATAATAAGAAAAAAGTAATATACGTAGTATATGTTGTTATGGCTTATTAAACGAGTCTAGTATAATCCAGTTTATATATTCAATATTCCTAAGAGATGTAGAGTATTTTATTAAACAATCTAATATTTCTGCCAAAATCTTTCACTTACACAATGATTTTTAATTACTTTTTTTAACTTTTGTGAGCAAAAAAACCCCAAGAAATTAATTCTTTATTTTCCATAAATTGATCTATAATTTCACATTATCTTACACTTTTCAATGTAATAAAAATTTAATCTTCTATCCTCTCCTTAAAAAAAATCAATAATTTCTTTCTCATGCATCTGGAATATAATTATGCAGCATTAAAGCCCCTTCTCACAGGAATCATAGTAGTAACATTTTTGTTCTACTAAGCCAGTGCCCTAATTACAGAGTAAACAGTGCACATACTAAGTCAGAGTTTAGCTAGTCAGTTAAGAGACACTTTAATTATTACAGTGTTAAACTATTGCCATGACAACACAGATCTTCTTTATCTTCTTGCATTTTCTTCTTTTTGGGAATGACAGTGGTAAGTGGCTATTTAGTTTCACACAAATATCCAACCAATTAATGAACAGACCATTTGACTGTGACTGATCTCATTCTTATCCTTCCAACCCAGGAAGGCACCACGTCAGTCCTCTTCCAGATGGAGAAGGGAAAACCTTCCCACCTCACCTGGAGCACCTGAGAGTAGCTCAAGGGATTACTCGATGCCATAGGAATAAAATGTATTAATATGGTGATTGTCAAATATTTTTTTACCAACAGATCCTTTCAAACAAAATCAGAGACCAGAAGTTGAATATAAATAGGAGCCGCTTTGGCTGACATACAGAGAGTCCTGGAATCTCACTGGAAACTGTGCCCATTTTTCCCCACTACTCAGAAGAGCGTTACCCTGAGATGAGACAGAACAAATGCTGGGCTGGGCTGAAATCAGACTGCAGTTTGGTACCAGCCTCCCCTATGGAGTGAGGGCAACTCTGGGCCAGTCACTGCGCTAAGTTTGAGCTCTACTGTCCTCCTCCATAAGACAATTCTTTCATAGTTGTGAAGGTCAAGTGAGATATGACAGATAGCTTTGAAACTGATCATTTTTCATACTGATAATAATTATCATTAGAGTTCAGGACCCAAGGAGCCAAAGGGCAAACACTACAGTGAACTCTCTGGATCTGACCATCTCAAACCTAGCCTTCCTGTTTGTGACACAGAGTCACTGCTGTGTGAACACGTCCTGGACGACAGGTGCCCTCTGGCTCGCTCATGTCTCAGCACCCAGCAGTTCTTCCTTCCTTCTGTGGGTAACCTACATCCCCCTACTCTTACTTGCAAAATTTATTAAATTTACCTTAGATATTGCTTGAGAAATCAGATGGGGAAAAGCAAAAATATACTTAGTAGCATTTTATTTGTTTACTCAACACGTTTACAAGGAGCTCATCTCTTCTTGTCTTAATATTGACATTTATGTCAGAAACTAACATGTATTAAA